TGACATCAAGGTGAGCAGCCATTGTCCTATTTCTGAGCCCACAGCCAGTAGACTGGTACTGTATCTAAAATTTCATCAACCTGGCTAACATTGTTTGACCCAACTTGGAGATTCCTAGAGACCCCACCCAACCAACTTACAAGCCCACCAAAGCCACTTTTCCATGTGAATGGCTTGTCTTGGCTCACACTTCACAACTTCCTGAATCCTCTCAAATAAGCAATGGCTTGCTTCAGTGAGTCCCAGGCCCAGCACTAGCAGTAGCCAGCTTAGATTCATAGCTTGGCTTCAACTGGGAATCTCTAAATTCAGCATAAGTAGCAGCCATCTCAGACTGCTTTATAGCTCAGGCAGGGTGCCTCAGGTAAAGCACAGGTGGGGGCTCGCCTTGGCCAGCACCACCCAGGAAACCCCAGAGCCAGTGCACCCAGTGCTACAGAACATGTCAGAGCACCACCACCCTGCCTCTGCATAGCTGATTCTCCAAAGATGGCAGAGGTTGATGGTCAGTGGTCATAGCCAGTCCTTGCAGTTGACTTGCCTGAATAAATCCCTCCCATTGATCACTAACAGCAAGCAAGGCTCAACTGCAAAAGAAGGGTGTACTCAGCCCACATGAAGGGCTTACCTTAAATACCTAGCTTGGGTGATAGGGGAGGCTGTGCCACTGGACCCTACAGGACACCTATTACATTAGACCACACTACCAAGACTCAGAATCAAAGCAGCTCTATCTAATACACAGAAGCAAACAGGAAGGCTACCAAAATGAGGAGACTAAGAAACATGGCCCAACTGAAAGAACAGATCAAAACTCCAGAGAAAGAGCTAAATAAAGGGGAGATAAGAAATCTCTCAGATGCAGAGTTCAAAATAATTGTTATAAGGATGCTCAAGGAACTTAAGCAAGGACCTAAACAGCATAAAAAAAAAACCAGGTAGAAATGAAGGATATACTAGTTGAAATAAAGAATAACTTATAGGGAAACAACAGTAGAGTGGATGAAGCCAATAATCAAATCAATGATTTGGAACATAAGGAAGCAAAAAACCATTCAGAACAAGAAGGAAAAATAATCCAGAAAAACGAGGATAGTGTGAGCAGCCTATAGTGGGTCAACTTCAAGCAATCCAACATTCACTTCATAGGGGTGCCAGAAGGAGGAGAGAAAGAGCAAGAAATTAGAAATCTATTTGAAATAATAACGAAAGAAGACTTTCCTAATTTGGTGAAGGAAATAGATATGCAAGTAAGTCTAGGAATCACAAGGAGTCCCAAACAAGATGGATGCAAAGAGGTCCACTCCAAGACACATCATAATTAAAATGCCAAAAGTTAACGATAAAGAGATGGGAGGGTGGGTGTGGGAGAATGGGTGAGAGATGAGGGGATTAAGAAGTACAAATAGGTATACAGAATAGCCATGGGAATATAAAGTACAGTATAGGAAATGGAGTAGCCAAAGAAGTTATACACATGACCCATAAACATGAACAAGGGTGGGGTGTAGGAGACCATTCTTCGTGGTGTGGGCCCAGCTCCCAATGGAGAGCAAGGTCTGACGCACAGGACCCACGCCCACGAAAAGGTTCTTCTGTGGGGAATCAGGCCTGCAATGTACCTAGGCTGCTTTGAGGCTTGCTTTTGCTAAAAGTCCCTCACCCTGAATTGTGACAGAAAGTGCTTACTGTAACTTCCTAAAATCCATGCTAAAACTCTCCAGTATGGAGTGTAAGGGGTTCAACCACCTTTCCCTTTTCATTTGCAAATATCCTTCTTCTGTGATGTGATTAGCAGCAGCATCTCCTTTTGTTTTCTGTAAAAGGTAACTACCTAAAGTGAACTTGTGCATAGTAAATGAGGACCATCAAGTAATGTGCCCCGAAAAAGAAATAAAGGCCTGTCATGGTGAAGGCCGAGGCTTTTGCCCCTCTTGAGAGAGAAGCCACTTGCCCTTTTTCTCCACAGGATTTGGTAGTCTGTGTGAATTTTTGGGGGTTTCAGCTACAACACTGTGGGTCCCACGAGCTGGGGTCTGCAACAGTGGGGTATTGCCTGAGGAAGTGGTGGGGTGCTGTGTGGAAGGGGGAACAGGGAAAAAAACAGGATACCTTTAATAGCATAATCAATAAAATAAAATTAAAGGAAAAAAGAATATTAGGTATAAAGCAAAGCAAGAAAAGGAGGTACTAGCTAGAAGAAGACAAAATACAAAAAGGATGTTTTTTAAATGGGAGAGGCAACTTGGTTAGTAAATTATAGGAGGAAAGCTATTAGAGGAGCTAAATACAAGAGAGAAGGCTCTGAGCCAGGGGAAAGGATCTAGATGAGGATGAGGGATAAACTGGTGAGACCCAGTATCCGTGAAACTAAAGGGAAGGGTGGGTCTGGATGTGGATGAGTGGAGAGAGAGGCTGGCCTAAAGCTGTGGGAGTTTACAGAGTTTCATTTCACCCAGAAAGTGGGAAATGGTAAACCTGAGAATAAGGAAAGGACAAAGTTTGTGATAGACTAAGTAATTTATTCATTCAGCTGTTTTTTTATTGGATGGATGCTAGGACAATTTCTAGGTACTGGGGATAGAGGAGTGAACTGAGGGCTAATGGGATTTGAGGCTCCTGAGTTACTGAAACATGCCAAAGGTTTAAAGATAGGAAAGGGGAAACTAGTAACTATGGAATAGTAAGTAGTGTTTTCTCAAACCGCCTACATCTCTTACATAGGTTGTTTTGGCATTACTAACTAGGATTATCACTAGAGGGGTATTAGTCTATGTCAGCAGTTCATTGGTTGGTGCATTGTGGGTGAATCCTTTTGAAGATAAATGGGATCCTAAATTCTTCTACCAGCTGGTGTAATGTGTCATGCTTTCCTTTCTTATAGAGTATTTTTTTTCTTCTCTGGTGATTTTATCCTGTGAAATGTGTGAGGATGTTTTAGGTGAAATTTTGTTTTTTCGAAGACTCATTCACTTATTAAAAAAAAAAGTAAGCACCTCCTACATGCCAGGCACTATTCCAGCTGTTTGAAATATGCCAGTGAATTAAACAGCAAATGTCCTACCCTAATGGAACTTGCAGTATGATCATGGGGGGAGGGGAGAGACAGACAATGAGCAATCAGTACATAATAAAGAGATATACTATACAGGTGATTAAAAGGAAGTAAATGCTTTTGGAGAAAAGAAAAATTATAGCAAGGCAAGGGGGGTTGAGATTGCAAAGGGACAGGATGCACTGTTCAGGGGGTTGGTGAGGACAGCCTTTCCAGGAAGGTGGTGTCTGAGGTGACTGGGAGCTGTGAAGGGGTGCAGCAGTGCAGCTATCTGGGGAAAGGAAGTCTGGTGTGACAGACCCAGTGGGCACCAAGTCTCTGAGGAGAGAGAGAGAGCCTGCATGTCTGTTGAGGAATAGCCAAGAGGCCAGACTGGCTGACAGGAGAAAGTAGGGGAGAGATTAGGAAATGATGCCAGAGAGACTATATGGCTACAGGGCTTAGCACCTTCTGGAATACCCTCTCTTATTTTGTATTTGGTTGGTAAGGAGATGCACAGTCAGGTAGAAGCTAGCCAGAGGTGAAGGTGAGCTATACAAGCCCTTGGCAGAAGAACCAGAAACAGCCCCTGCAGAGCTTCTGGGACCCAAGTGTGATTGTTCTCTAGCTAAGCTATCACCTCCCATTACAGGGCTGCTAAACTGGGGTGAAAGAGAGTTCAAACAGCAAGGGAGAGGCACATAAATGGCCCCAGGAGCACTGGCAAGTCCCAGATTACCTTGTGGTAGTTAAGTGACCACCACTGGCTTCATTGATCTGCATCATGGCTTAACCTGGTCTTCCTTATAAATAGGGAGCCATGTTGAGGGAGGATCCTAAGCCTTCCCAAACCCTGAGTAGTTAAAAAAAAAAAACTTCCTATATCTCACCTTCTAGAAAAATGGGACAGGCTCCTAACACACTGTCAGAGGAAGGAGTTTCTTTGTGGTGGGGAGTTGGGCAGGTATTTGAGTATGTGCTCTTTCTACAGCATATATATCTGGGGCGGAGAATATCATTTTGCTGCATGTTGCTGAGTCCACACATGCCACAAAGTCTGGTGCTAGAAAATAGTGATAGTGTGACATAAACTTTTTCTGACTAATAAGGCAAACACAACTGGAACTGAGTCGTGCAATGTTCAATGGACACTTGGTGTGAAGTGATGTCTCCTGCCACCAGCTGTGTCTCTCTTTTTGAGCCATATCTACTCTGGCTAGAATTCACTGTCCCTGTGGTATGGCTCATGCTCTCCCCTCTTTGTTTCTGTAATTAGTAAGGGGACAGTTCTTCAAAATTACTAACGCAAGCTATAGCAAGATTCATTTTAACATGGTGCTGTGTTTGGAGGGAACTATCTTTTCAAATGACAGATTCATACAAATGTTTTCCTTCAGGGTTCTAGCATCGTTAGGCAAGGGAAGGTTCCTGGCCGTGACGCTCCTCATGTGTGAATGGGAAACTGAGGCTGCAGTATGGAAGTATGGAGGCAGGAAGGTGGGGAGTGGTGCATGCTCCCTGGGCTGCAGAGGGGAGGGAAGGGACATACAAGCTGCTTTGGCCTGTAATGAGCACAGCTCAGCCAGGCCAAGTACCAAGTGTCAGAAACAAAGCCCTGAGCACTGCAGTTTAGGGAGTTAGTGCAATGACACCCCACATGCAGGGTTCCCCTTCAGACTTTTACAGACATTCTAACAAAGGTGAGTACCTTAGCTCTTCATAGCAGAGAGGGCCAGTTACAGACTCAATAGGAAACTGACAGTGAGGCAGGAAGTGGTGTCCCCAGTCCTGACGGCAGGCCATCTGCATGTGTTCTTGGGGTACTGGGCCTCAGGCTGTCTCTGTGACATGTGTTACCAGGTCTGCAGCAACTGGACAGACTGTCCCAGGAAAGAGTGTATTGCAATTGCATATCAGGTTGCAAACTAACCTTTCAATACATCCTCTCTCTAACCCTGTGCTCCAGCTACCCACTCCTCTGCTCAGGATCAAGACCGACCAACCACCACAGTGTCACCCGTGCACACCCAAAACTCCCCATTCTGCCCACAGCCAGCCACAAGCCCCACTCCATGGTGTCCCCGAAGCACCTCCATCAGCCCCCAATGCAGACCATCACTGAGGCACAGTGCATTCGGCCAACCATCCCACTCACATCAGCAACATCAGCCATCACACCTCCCAATGTCACTGCTGCCAAGCTCAATGGGGACACCGGAGTGGGGACTGTCAGTGGCCTGTCAACATTCAGCCCCACCAACATGGAATGCAAACCTGATGAGAAGAAAAATGAAAAGGTAAGCAACCCATCATGAGTGAGCCCTGGCCCTGGCCCAGCTGGTTATTGTAACTCTTTAGCACCTGATTCCAAGGATGTTTTATATACTTAAGTCTTAAAGGTGGGCACCAGGCTTGTGACAGACATGGAGGTCAAACCATTAAGCAGCTGGTTGTTGAAGTGGAACTCAGGCCTCAGGTCCTCATAAGGTTGACCCAAGCCCAACTATAGTTATGCAAGAAAGAAAAAAAAATGTGTCTCCTTCTCAAGGTGTTTTAGTTCATTTAACAGAAAATCATTGTGATATATTCATTTTGTTAGAGCAACATTCTTATTGCAATGTACCAGGATATTATAATAATAACTACATAAATCTACTTATGTGCACCCACTCCCTTTCATGTGAATCCTTGTCAGTCCATAGTCTGTTCAATCACAAGGGGAAGATCTGTCTTCCCAGGAGAAATGAGAGGGGGATGCCAGCCTGACACTTGGCGTGGGTAGCATTTTTAGCTATTCTTTTAACTGTAAAGGAAGTAAGGTTATTTCACAAAATGAATCTGATTCCAATGAGCTTGCTTCAGTTGCCACCCAACTAGACATTGGAGTAGCCAGGATTAGACTCCAGATTTCAAAATCAGAGCTGTCCACAAAAACTATAATTTAAGACACACATCTAATTTAAAGTCTCCTAGTAGCTACCTTTTTAAAAAGTTTGAAAAATGTAAAAATAAAATTAAAAGGTGAAATTCATTTAATGGTATTAAATGAATTCCATATCTATTAAATTTCATATCCAAAAAATATGAACATGTAATCTATATGAAAAACTTGTTGATGAGATGTTTTACCTTTCTTCACATTCAGTCTTTTAAAGCCACTGGGAAAGCCAGTGGGACAGTACCAGTGCTCATGGGACAGTGTCTTTATGGCTCTACGGGCAGCATGGGCCTAGATCTTCAACAGGGAACCATTTATATTGGCCTTGCTGCATAAAAGGTTTATGTTCATTCTCTCTTGGCTTTACCACATTCTGTGAATCTTTTTAAATCTTTCCATATAAAACCAGTGTTTTATCCTACCCTTCACAACAGTATGGATGGCACTGAAGAGCATTATGCTAAGTGAAATAAGCCAGGTGGTGAAATATAAATACCAATATGATCTCACCTATAAGTGGAACCTAATTAACAGAACAAACAAGCAACTGAAACATAACCAGAAACATAGAAATAAAGAACAAACTGATAGTAACCAGAAGGGAGGGGAAAGAGGGAAAGTAGGGGAAGACCCATCAAAGAACATGTTTAAAGGACACATGGACAAAGCCAAAGGCAGTAGGTTCGAGCGTAGGAGGTGGGGATTGGTGGCGGGGTGGGGGTGTGTGTGTGAAAATGGAGACAACTGTATTTGAACAAGAATTTTAAAAAATAAAATTATTTAAAAAAACCACTATTTTCATTGGAGTGTGCTAGCTAGGGTTGGGATGAGACCCTCAACACTAGTGAAGAAAGCCTCTCCTATTCTTTGGAGGCAGTACCAAAACCAGTGTTGACTGTTCAATTCATCATCCCAGGATGCCCTGGAATCACACCCACCCTCTCAGCACCCTGTGGTTAGTGAGATTCCAGGAACCCTGCAGAGATACACACACCAGAGTTTTCAGGACCTTTTGACCAATGCTCAGGTCTTGTCACCATCTGTTTCTGTCTCATTTGTTGCAGAGGAAGGTGATTCTCATACTAACTGGTGTGGAAAAGGCCTTAGCCACTGTTGCTGAGCTCTCAGCTATCAAAAGCTCAAAGCTCCTTGAGTTTTAACAGGATGCCTGGGTTTGAAGCACAGTGGTTGCTCTGTGTTTTGTGTCCATGTTTGTGTGAAAATCACTGAGGTCTTGATCTGCTCCCTTCCACCTACAGCCTGATTAGGAGATGTGCCTGGGTCTTGTCAGGCAGCACAGATGTAGTCCCACTCTCTGATTTAGATATCCTTCCTGGAAGACAAGATTCCCTAGACCTCCTAAATGCTGAGAAAAAACAGGGGACAGACTTAGGAAAGTGCTATAATAGTTCTGTAAATATTTGTGGTTCTTTGCCTCCAACTTCCCTCTCTATAGTTTGTGAAACAGGGATGGCTTCAAGTGGCTCATTGCTGAGTAGGGTCAGGTTTGTAGGAAGTTGTATGGAGAATGATATTGTTCACCATCTTTGCCCTCCTGAGTGTGTTGCTAATAAAGACCAGCACTGGGTCTGCTTTCAGCAGGCCTGGCCTGTTAGACATTCAGCGGGTATTTTGCTTTCACTTAAGGCTTACTTTCTGCTAACAATTCTCCTACATCAGCAAGGAGTAGTGGAGTTCATGGTCTTTCTTGATGGAAGGCACCTTGGAAGAAAGCCCTGCTTACAGATAAAAAGCAGAAGATATGTCAGCTTAACTCAGAGAACTCCCCAGGCTGAGCCTGGCAGTGGGAATGCACAAGCCATTGCAGGTTGTACCCGGCCAGTCCTGGCTTGGGCACAGACTTCTCAAAGCACAGAGAGCAATTGATGCTTTGCTCAAGTAGAAACTGAAGTGAACTTGGTGGGAATGAATGAACATGTGTCCATAGGACAGCAACAATCATCAGCATCGAACCCTAGTAATCAAGGACATCATCCTTAACAATATTAGGTGTAGTTTTCATTTCTCACCTTTCAAATAGAGGGGAAAAAAGAGAAAGGAAGGAAAAAAGAGAGAGAAAAGGGGAAGGAAGGAAGGAAGGAAGGAAGGAAGGAAGGAAGGAAGGAAGGAAGGAAGGAAGGAAGGAAGGAAGGAAGGAAGGAAGGAAGGAGAGAAAGAAGGAAAGAGAAAGAAAGAAAAGAGAAAGAAAGAAAAAAGAAAGAAGGAACTAGAGAGAAAGCAGTAGTCTGATAAATCACCTGTTAATGTTTTTCCCTTCTGTATTCATAGTAGAATTTTTCCTAATTCATAGTAAGGTAGAAAATGCCCACAGTTTCTGTTCCTAACAGAAGAGCCAAGACGATGGCTGTTTAAATCTCATTCCTCATAAGCCTAAGCAAGCCGCTGCAGTGTGCTCTGGGTCTTGTGCATGCAGTGTGCATGATTACAACTGAACAGATTTTCCTAACCTTGAAAACACAATGGTTGGCTTCATGTCAACTTCTGGGGAGCCCACTGTAGATGTGCACATGTCTGAGTGTGGCCAAGGGACTTATAAAAGGAACTGGCAATATTCCCCAGGCTACTTCTGTTACTGAATTTTCCCCCAGAAAAGACAATGAACTACTAACCCCAATGTACAAGGAGACCTAAACCTCAGTGCCTGTGTGTTTTCATAGTGCAGGTGCTGAGCTATGCTGCAATTTGATTTGGACCCTTCTAGGCTTGAGCTTATGAGACAAAACCTTGACTGATGAGGCCCCTGGGCACCTGCAATTAAGTGTTTCCCACACTGTGACTGTTCTCTGAGCCTGACTTCACATAATGCCTTCCTGCTATTAATGTGCCCATGAGGCACTTACCCTTTCCTGTGCGCTTGGCAGCAAGATCTTTCAAACCATGTGTTTGAAAATGACTCATTCATGGGCCACAAAACCAATTTAGTATATGTGGACCAAAATTTATTTAGATTGAAAATGATACATAGGATGAAATAGACTAAATCAGCCTACATGGCACACAGTGAAGTAGGGAAAATTATTGTAACTGCTATTTTTAATATATTTTATTGATTATGCTATTACAGTTGTCCCATTCCCCCCTTTAATCTCTTCCACCCTGTACCCCCCTCCCATCATATCCCCTTCTTAGTTCATGTCCATGGGTCATATATATAAGTTCTTTGGCTTCTCCATTTCCTGTAGTATTCTTAACCTCCCCATTTCTATTTTGTACCTACCATTTATGCTTCTTATTCCCTATACTTTTCCCCCCATTTTACCCTCTTCTCTGTTGATAACCCTCCATGTGATCTCCATTTCTGTGATTTTGTTCCTATTCCAGTTGTTTGCTTAGTTCATTTTTGTTTTTGTTTTTCTTAGGTTTGGTTGTTGATAGTTATGTGTTGTCATTTTACTGTTTTTGATCATCTTCTTTTTCTTAGATAAGTCCCTTTAACATTCCATGTAAAAGGGCTTGGTGATGATGAACTCCTCTAATGTGACCTTATCTGAGAAGCACTTTATCTGTCCTTCCATTCTAAATGATAGCTTTGCTGCATAGAGTAATCTTGGATGTAGGTATTTGCCTTTCATGACTTGGAATACTCCTTTCCAGCTCCTTCTTGCCTGTAAGGGCTCTTTTTCAGAAATCAGCTGACAGTCTTATGGGTACTCCTTTGTAGGTAACTGTCTCCTTTTCTCTTGCTGCTTTTAAGATTCTCTCCTTCTCTTTAACCTCAGCTAATGTAATTATGATGTGCCTTGGTGTGTTCCTCCTTGGGTCCAACTTGTTTGGGACTCTCTGAGCTTCCTGGAATTCCTGAAGTCTATCTGCTTTGCCAGTTTTGGGGAAGTTCTCCTTCATTATTTTTTCAAATGAGTTTTCAGTTTCTTGTTCTTTCTCTTCGCCTTCTAGCACCCTTGTGGGTCAAATGTTGGAACATGTAAAGTTGTCCCAGAGGTTCTTAAGTCTCTCCTCAATTTTTTGAATTCTTGTTTCTTTATTCTGTTCTGATTGAATGTTTATTTCTTCCTTCTGCTCTAAAACTTAGATTTGAGTCCTGGTTTCCTTCCTTTCACTGTTTGTTCCCTGTATATTTCTCTTCATTTCACTTTGCATAGCCTTCACTTTTTCCTTCATTTTGTGACCACATTCAACCATTTCTGTGAGCATCTGATTACCACTGTTTTGGATTTGCATCTAATAGGTTGGCTATCTCTTCATTGCTTAGTTGTACTTTTTCTGGAGCTTTGATCTGTTCTTTTATTTGGGACATTTTTTTTGTTTCCATGTACCTGTTATGTAGTAAGGGGTGGAGCCCTAGGTATTCGCCAGGACGGGACAACCCACAATGCTGCT